CGAGCGACAACGAGCGGTGCGAACATGGAATTGTATCCGTCGGTTCCTTAGACGTCCAGTTATGACAGCAGGCTGGTTGAACATGCGTTTTGAGCCCCGTGATGCTTCGTGTTGGGCTCCGCATGCGCGTACGCGAGCGCCAGCGATATCTTCAGATCTCTCAGACCTTACGGATCAGGCCGGACGCCACCAGGCTCACACTACTGCCTTGATACGGCAACTGCTATTCGACGAAACGGCGTCAGGCGGCTTGCTTCTCCGTTCACGCTTACGTCTAAGTTACAGTGCGATCAAAACTCTCTACTTGATTTCGCCTCCGCAGGCTCAACAGCACGTCGCCTCGCTTAGAAAGCGTCCCTCGTAGATACCATCTTGCTTTTCTTCCACGTCTGCACGATGCCAGCCAGCACGACAGCAGCCTAAGCGTAACTTGCATTGAGGATACCCGTCGCTGCGAGATGGCCTAGTATGGGACACAGAGCAGCGGGCTGGACAGTGTGAGAGTTGACTTGTAAGCATGGCGAAGAGTAGGCGTAAGAGTGATGTACGGGTACCACTCTGACGAACTTGCCCGCCGTATGGGGCACCGCATGCTGCGCAGTCAGATGCACAAGGTCCATCTGGCTGTTCTGCGGCTGGAGGAGCGGTCGCGCGGGCGACATAAAGGCAGTTCTGGAGCATATTGGGTGAGGAACGGCCAGGATCGTCGAGTGAAGTGGGACTCACGGCGGGGCGTTTGGCCATTTGGAAGCGCCGACATCCGCAGCGATGGACGTAATCGGTACGGCCAGCTTCATGAAGAGCTCGTCGGCCCGCAGGCGTGAGCTCACAACTAGATTCTTCACGCTTGTTAGTAACAGCGCGATACGTAAAGATAAGAGGGCGTGCCCTTTACCAACCGCAAGTCCGTCGCACATCCAATGAGTTAGGGCGGAGCGCAGACGGCGCACGCGGTCCCGACCGAAGACCCATTCGTCCGCTCACATCGCATTTTGTACCATCTCTGCATAGCCGACCACCACCTCCAAGATACGTGTCTGGCCAACGTTGCGCTTGATCCACGTCAGCGCGCGAAAATGCTGTTCGGCGCAAACGAAGTTGTATTTCGTGGCGAGGTACGAGACGTAGAGGGCGTGAGCCGGCGATGAACTCGATGCCAGGTCGATAGTCGTGTAAGCGCGAGGACGCCAGACGTGACGTGTGGCGTGGATTGGTTCGAGTACCGCGAGTTGTTGTACGGCCTGCGCGAATGAAGATGAGCTGTCGCTATAAAGGTATTGTTAGGCATCAAGACGCACCTGTAGACACGCTCCTTGTTCTGTCATAATTCACAGCCCTTCCGCTAAGGCTTTCAGGCAACGTGCCTGACCTTGACCGACGTCGCCAATAGTGGTTGGACTCCGGCGGAGTAGGGCGCGGTAAGATCTAAATGGAATACGGATCTGCCTGTCAGCATGCGGGCACAGAACGAAGAAAATTGCAGTTTACGCCGTATATATGAAGTCGCCGACCCAGTCGTTGACAGCTTCCGAGACAACAGTGTGGATTATGTTGAGCGAGGTAAGTTTCCGAGGCATTCTGAACAGCGCAGTCCAGGCTTCAGGTGAGCATAGCAGTCACCAGGTAGCTCAAGGTTTGCGCGTCGTGATGGTTGATGTCCAGCCAGGAGAAGGGAACGTCCTTGAATATTTGAATTTTCATCTCCGCCGAAGAGGAAGCAAATTGAGCGCAAGCTGAGCGTTGATTATCGCAGCGAGTGTTGCATGGCCCGTCTGAAAGTTGTCGTAGGGCCAGAGGTGCGCCGTCTATGGTGAAAACGCGTGCAAGGCAAGACTTGCCATCGTAGAGGTACGCGCGCAAAACGTTTCGTGCAAAGAGCGGGAAAGATCAGGTCGGGGAGCACAGCAGGGTGACGACGTTGCTTGTGCTCCACTGGTTGTGGTGTGAAGACAAGGACGGACAAGCAGCAAATTAGGCAAGCGGGGACGCAAAGTTTCCAAACGTGCCCGCGGTGCAGATCACGTGTCAGCTTCGTTACGTAAGCGCCTCCGCTCGCAGTACATAGGCGCCTTGGTCGCGTCTTAAAGCGCGTCTCGCGCCGACCTCCTGCCTCTACGTCCATCTGATCCTTAGCCTCCTCCCACGCACTGTGAGTCACGTTCTCGCTTGCGCCTTTTGGCCAGGTTCCACAGTCTTTGTGGTTCGGTGTAGAGGCCTGCTATTGTCTTTATTCAGAGGGTTTGCTGAGCTGGGTGCCACGTTCGGATATAACCATTAGGTATTCACTCAGGGCTCTCGCTGTATGGTTATACACACGTTGCACTGGCTCTCCAGTGACGAGGACAGCCTCGGACAGCCTCAGACGCACCAGGTGTGGCGCGGCCGGCGATCAGCGATGGCTATCACCCAATGACGGTCTGAATGTGCATTCGCGGTGCATAC